GACGGCGCCAGGGCAATCCGGTGGTTTAACGGGGCGACGACGCAGAGATGACGGCAGCGGTGGCGGCGGCGGGAGGAGGAGGAATGATAAAGGAGGAGGAGGAGGAGGAGGAAAATGAGGAGGAGGAGGAGCAGGAGGGGGAGGAGGAGGAGGAGGAGGAGGAGGAGGAGGAGGAGGAGGAGGAGGAGGAGGAGGAGGAAGGATCGAGGAGTTGGAGTTTGACGGGCTACGGACGAGTAGCGCAATGCGTTTTGGAGATGGTCGCCGCAGGACACTTGTCGCCGACCTTGGGATCCGCAGTCAATCTACGGCTGATGCGCCAAAAGGGGGAGGAGGGGGAGAAGGAACAGGAGGAGGAGGAGGAGGAGGAGGAGGAGGAGGAGGAGGAGAAGGAGCAAATGAGGAGGAGGAGGCGGAGGAGGAGGAGGAGGAGGATTATGCTGATGATGATGACGATGATGATGACGATGACGATGCTGATGATGATGCTGATGATGATGCTGATGAGGATGATGATGGTGCGATGATGATGACGATCATGCTGCTGATGCTGATGATGCTGATGATGACGATGATGCTGATGATGTTGATGATGATGATGCTGATGATGATGATGATGATGATGATGATGATGACCGTGGTTCTGATGCTGATGATGATGCTGATGCTGCTCATGATGATGCTGTTGCTGATGAAGAGGATGGCGATGATGATGAGGATGCTGATGATGATGAGGATGAGGATGGGGATGTCGAATATGATGATGATCATGCTGGTGATGATGAGGATGACGATCATGATGCTGATAATGTTGATGATGCTGATGATGCTGATGATGATGCTGACGATGATGCTGCTGCTGATGATGCTGATGATGATAATGACGCTGATGACCGTGATGACGATGATGACGATGACCAGGACGATTATGCTGATGATGATGCTGATGATGGTGATGGTGATGGTGATGATGATGATGATGATGCTGGTGGTGATGATGATGATGATGATGGTGATGATGATGATGAGGTTGAGGAATAGGAGGAGGAGGAGGAGGAGGAGGAGGAGGAGGAGGAGGACAAGGTGGAGGAGGAGGGGAATGAGGAGGAGGAGGAAGAGGAGGAGGAGAAGGAGGAGGAAGAGGAGGAGGAATAGGGGAGGAGGGGAGGAGAAGGAAGAGGACGAATGAGGATGGCTGCGTCTGGCAGACCCGGAAGCCGCCAGGAACCAGGAGCCAGGATAAAGGTCTGAGAAGTTCGAGGTGGACGGGCTACAAAGGAGTCGCGAAGCGTGGTCGGGTCATGGCGGTGACATGCGAATTGCCGCCTCCCTCCGGATCCCTGGATCCAGGAGTCGCCAGAGGGAGGAGTAGGAGGAGAAGGATGAGTACGTTTCGCATTGCCGAGTGATGTCTCTCGAAGTGGCGCGGGCCCGTGGTGAGAACACTCGCCATGCGAGGTGGCGATTTGCAATGCTTGACACCTGGGGTGATATCCAACATGTCCACGTTGTTCCTTGGGTGGTAACGAGTCACCTGCTTTTGGTGGGTACGCTGCGCGCTGTGCGTGCGGGAGGTATTCCAGCCATAGCCAAGTAGGAGCAGTGCACCCGCCCGTCCGAATCCGCTTTTCGTACACCTTTTCAAATCAATTTTTCACTTCGGGGAGCTCCATTGAAATAGGAGGGGCCCATGGGCGTTACATCCAGGCGACAGCCCCGTTATGGAAACGAGCTGCTGTCCACCCTTGTAGCTGTAAGAATTGTCACTGTGTAAGGTCGTCGACGACAAGTGTACAGCGAACGCCTTATTTTGAAGAGATCCACCCTGCATCTCCGTGGCAGTTGCGCACATCTTCTTCTCGGACCATGCAGCGAGAGGGAGTCTCAAGAGATAGCCCAGCTGCGATCACGAGCTGTTGCGGGTAGATAAAAGTTGTTAGTCTAGAGCCCCAAGGAGTCTCCCGCGAGAGCCCCATTTTGGAAAGGAACCGCTCTCCATCCATGGAACCGCTGCAAATCTTCACTGCGGATGAGCGCTGCGCCGAGCAGAGAGCTACATGCCTTTGTGGATGCGGTTCTTTTGCGCTGGGTGCTGAGGCCCCTTGCAGCCATCTTGGAGCCCTTTTAAGGCACCTTGGGGGACTTTTGGGGCCCCCTAGGGTCGCGGGCGAAAAACATATCCGTATCCGCTGCCTCATGGGCCGGGCCCTTGGGCGCGACCCCGCAGATACGGGATGCCCCGCGCGGATTGTATCTTTGCGGCAGCGTATCCGCGGGACCGCGCCCCAGAATCCAGACCGCGAGGGCGCGGACACGGATATGTTTGCCACTCGTGATAGGGGCTCTCTTGTGGCCCTCTGGGGAGCTTTGGGGGCCCTTTGAACGCAACCTTGTGGGTCATCCATCAAACGAGGGGGTGGCGCCGATGCGGGCCGCCCTTCTAGTCCTGACACGTGGCAACTTGTGGGCGCCCTTGGAGCGCTCCTGGGCGCTCTGAGGGCCGTCTTGGAGCCCTTCCGGGACCCTCTTCCCACATCCTCCACCTCCTCGTCCTCGTCCTCCTCTTCCTCTTACTCCTTCTCCTCCTCCTCCTTTTTCAATTAATCAATTTCGTGTGGCCGCGTACGATATTGTTGTTAACTAAAGCCTACTTCCCACACACACACACACAGGATACAGGGATGACCACGTGCAGCAACTATGTATGTCGATCTCTGCATGGCACGCCGAAGAACGCGGTCAGAAGCACGACATCGTAGTGGCAGGGAATTTCAAAGCTCAAGTCGGACACCGGAGCATAATCATAACCCTAACTGACTATGAGGATGACACTTCAGTCGACGACGGGGCCAAGCCAGACGCCTGGCACATCGGAAGCCATGGGCACGGAAAGTGTAATTCGAGAGGAACTTGGCTACGCGTGGGCATCCAAGGAACGCTTGGTCATCACCAGGACGCTTCTTCGCAAGCCCACTGTCAAGCAGACTACCTACACTCACAGCATCGGCACCGAGAAGCAGTTCGCCCATATCCTCGCGTCCCGACGTTTGTTCTGGACATGCCGTAATGCAGAGGCGAACAAATTGCTGGACATCGGTTCAGACCACAAGGCCGTGATTGCGCAATTCTGCTTTCAACGAATTCCGACCACCAATCGGCAATCGAACGATGACCAGCATCGACATGCAGGCGGCCACGACGCACGACCACTTGCAGTTGGGCGAGTGTCGGCACTGCAGCATACACAACCGCAGTCAGAGAGATGATCGCAGGCAGCTGACTTACCACGACCTCCGGGAGAGCTCAGCAAGCACATCGAGACGGTCATCATAGAAGCAACCACAGCCAGTCGCACTGAGCTTGCGAGGCCGCGGCTCGATCTTGCAACCCTGGCGCGCTACAGGCACCAATCCCAACTGCGGAGGAACACGCTCCGAACCACAACGCTCAGACAAGCAAGGAGACACATCAGCGAACTAATCGGGAAGGAGACGCGGCGACGGAAGTGGATGCCACAACGTAGACGCATCGCACCATACTGGAAGAATACCCCCGGTTGAGCGGCATCACGGTCATTACATCAGGACGGAAGCGGACGCTAGTAACAGACATACGCGGCCCAGGAGGAAACAGCATACCAGCAGGGAGCCCATTTCAAACGTGTTTGCCGACTTATACGAGCATCTTTTTTTACTCCTCGCACCTGGCTGCGCTGCCAGACCCGCCAGCCGACAGCGTACCACTAGTCACTCTCCAATGCATCGACAGAGGGCTGTCTCACCTGAAGTGCGGAGAAACACCCGACACGAATGGAGTCAGAGCCGAGATGCTAACAAAAACGCCCCTGTGCAGAAGCAAGCAGTGCTGGTATTCCCGCATAGCTGGCGAGAAACCGTGATCTCAGTTATCCTGAAAGCAGCCGACCAACCCTAGAATTATATACCAATTTGCAGCATACCTTTGCTCTACAAGTTCTTGAGCAAGCTTCTCCACAACATATTGCACCTACGCCTCGATAAGCAACAGCCGCCTGATCAATCTGGATCCTGGCCACGACGTTCAACGCAATGCCTCCTTTTTACATTTTACATGTCTCTTGAGCGTGCGCAAGAATGGATCGTACTCCTCTTGATAGCGACGCTTGATTTCGAGAAAGCCTGAGACACGGTCGAGCACGAAAGCCTATGGGCAGCATTGACGAGCCAAGGCGGTGCACCAGCCTGCATTCACGTACTCCAGCAACTACTCGGGACAAACAGCGACGGTGCGGGCAGATGTTAACAGTTACCCATTCATTCTTCTGATTGGTACAAAGCAAGGCGACCCTCTCAGTTCATTGGGGTTGAAATTGTTGACGCTTCGCGTATCCCCACCAGCCCATCCAGAAACGATGCCCAGGGGAGTTGAGGTGATCAGGGAAGTCGGGGAGCATGCAGAATAACAAAGGGCGGGGGAAGCTGTCACGTACCCCAAGAGGGGGAGGATGGAGAAGGAATCCTCGTCGGAGGGAGGAGGAGGAGGAGGAGGAGGAGGAGGAGGAGGAGGAGAATGAGGAGGAGGATGTGGAGTAGGGAGAGGACGAGGAGGACGAGAAGGAGGAGAAGGAGCAGAGGGAGGAGAAGGAGGAGAAGGAGGAGAAGGAGGAGGAGGAAGAGGGGGATGAGAAATTGAAGAGGACGGCGAACCGAAGAGCCAGAAGCGTCTTAAATGCATTTCGGAGATCCTCTTGAGGCTTCTTGGGGGTCTCTTGGGAGCCTCTTGGAGGCCTCTTGGGCGCCTCTTGGGGCCGTCTGGGCGCCTCTTGGGGCGCTCTTGGGGCGCTCTTGGGGGCTGTAGGGGCGCTCTTGGGGCCATCTTGGAGGAGATCGATCAACGAAGGGGGGTTCCCTAATTAGCCTCCCCCCTCAGGAGCTCCAAACATCGCCTCTTGGGGCGCTCTTGGGGCGCTCTTGGAGCGCTCTTGGGCGCTCTTGGGGCCGTCTTGGGGCTCTCTTGGGCCT